AAGCAAAAAGGATGCTTATGCTTAATATCAGGAAAATATAGTTGAAATATCTAGGATACATAATGAAGAAATAGAACTTGGAAAATTTGGTGCTCACAGGCAGGGCTGGATTATGACCTTTTGGGGCCCCACTAGGCTAATGAAATTATAGAGCCTCCCCTGAAACAGAGCCAACTTCTAACTCACCTGCATTCATCTTGAATATATATATATATATATATATATATATATGGCTAGTAAAAAAAAAAAAAAATTTTATAACCATCATTATAACTAAACTTGAGGGGCCCTAGACTTCACCTTATACTAGCCTATAAGATAATCTAGCACTGCACAAATTTGACCCTCACAGGATAAATTAAAAGCAAGAGAGACAAAGGAAAACAATGCATAACCTACCTAGTGAGCTTGTGTAAATGGATGGTGGAACAAGATTTAGGAGAGGTAACAAAAAGACAAAATTTATTAAGATCTACAAAGGACAGGAAATTGTGGAGAGCCATGATCGCCAATGGTCCTGAAGAGACACAGCACATAAAAGTGGAACTATTCCCAGTCTGACTGATTAAAGACAACAATGAATGAAAAGCATCTGGAACTAACCAATTGGAAGTGTGTCATCTTACATCAATACAAGACTTTATATATCTTTGTAGACCTGGCAAAAATTAGTACAGCTTGGTTGGGATGTCCTACTACACCTGACTATGCACATTCAGATGAATTTATTTCAATCCCTACAAAGTTCTTTTAATGGGAAGAGTTTTAACCCAGTGCATCACTCTAAAAGATGCAAAGTTCTTAGACGACAGAATCATGAAGTTGTTTCAAAGCTGGCAAAAGGTAGTGGAACAAAATGGTATATATGCAGTTGAATAAATCTTTTTAAATATCTATATATTGTCTCTGAAATTCACTTGCAAATGTTACAACCTTTAGTTCCAACTCAATAATTAAGTACAGGGATGATTAGCTTTTGCAAATAAATATAGTTCTATAAATAGAATAAAACCATTAAAAATATTAACAAACGTCTTGTTTAACACACACACAGTTCTATAAATAGAAGCTCAATAATGAAGAGAGGTTGCCAAAGGCAACATTTAAGTAAGTTTAATAATATAAATTATGATTTTAATGCAAAAAAAATATTAACAAAAGTACCTTGTATTTTTGTTAATAAAACCATAAAAAATATTAACAAAAGTCTTAAAACACACACACACACACACAAATAAAAAAAAATTATTTTCATATTTATTTCTTTGTAAAATAGTAAATAATAAATATTCCATTATAGTTGATTGACATTTTTATAATCTTAAAAATATAAAATTATTCTTGTAAATAAGCAATCTAATAGTGTTTAATATATTTGTTGTCATTTCTCAAGAATAAAATGTATAAATCAACTTTCATCTGTTTTAGTTTTATTCAAATTCTGTTGCATTTTAAAACAAAAAGCATTGCTGCGGGAATCCAAAGTGCATACAGTAATAGCAATTTCAAGAGAATACACCATCCTTTTGATATACCATTTTTTTTTTGCAGGCACAAAGATTAAATATTACCAAAGGTTTTTTCCTTGAATCAAGTTTTAATTATTTTCTCACATACACTGCAACTGATTTATTTATGCTATCTTTTCTAACCATCTTCATTTAAATCTAGCTTGCTTACATAATTGAGCAGCAAATATACACATTACTTACATTTCCCTCCCTATGCATTAGTTTTGCATTCTATTGGTATTTGTCAGAGTCATCGAAGTGTGCATTCTGACCCCTTGGAGATATACTGCCTGAAAGACAGGTCTCCAAATTCAGTTTAAATTTTTTTTAAAAACACAACATGAACATGTGAATTTTATCAATTTTTTGTTTAGAAAATGAAAAAGAAGAATAATTTCTAAAATGATGAATCCAGCAAAGTTTAGTGTTCAGCTTTTATTGGAAAAATTCTTTGGTTTTACTTTTAGGGAATTATAGTTATTTAGGTTATTGGACACTGTGGATAAGTGTGAGAAAAGAATAAAAAATAATCCAAACATAACATTTTTATCGAGAAATAATATACAACATATGAAACTTTTATCTTTTGTCTTTGTTATAGAATGATGAAAAGTACTACTTTCAAAAAAGTTCAACATTTGGTATCAAAAGAGAATGACAGATGAATGTGCTGTCTGTTCATGTTGGAAGCAAAATAAAAAAATAAAAAATAAAAAAACTTTTCATACCTCCTGCTGAAATAGCAGAAAGATGGGGCTTGGAGTGAACAATTTTGTGACCAATCCGGAACTTTCATACATGTAGGGTTTAGCAGAGCTAGATAGAGCCTTATGCCTTACTGCTGCTATGTGTGATGTCAGTATGTGTTAATTATGTGTGTGTATGTAACTCACTACATAATGTGGATAATTTAACAATTAGCAACACCAAAAAAAAAAAAAAAAAATTAGTAAGCGAAGCTCTAATTTCAGTCGAGTTTGTTACAGTCACTTTCACACAAATATCCTTGAAAAAGCTATGAATCAATCTATTCTTCCCCTAGCAAAACTGACAGGGTTCTCTTACTTTAGAGGTGGCAACCAGTCTAGGAAAAGAAAAATTCTGAAATCAAATCAGCCTGAAGAAGGATGGACTGTCAGGCTATCTTGTCCAAGACACACCATATTGCTGCTATTGCTACAGTAAATATGGGGTTCCCTACGACCCTAAGGTATTGTAAAGTAAGGAGTGGATATTTATTCAAAAATGAGAATACATTGCATGAAAGGATGACTACAACGTTCATAAGTTTCATTTTTATTTTATGCAGGAATTATGTCAATCTTTTTACATTAATTCAGTGCACAAATGCCATTCTACTTTAAAAGATATTGGTAGGAGGATTTGCTAATTTGAACGTTTCATGTGAAAAAAAGAGGCTCCGGGGTTGTAACAGAAACAAAAAAATATTTATATCACCCTTCATCTGCCGAAAACAGTTGTATTGACAACTTTTAAACAGGACAAATGTGCACTGATTGATCACGTATGTCTTCGACTCGTACAGCAACTTCATCATCAACGAGAAGAAAGGAATAGTGTTTGATCCTTTGCGCGTGCTCTCAACAATCAGAAATAATACTCAACAATATATGTAGGTAGCATCTACACACAAGACACAATCCCTGTAGCCGAGAAAAAAAAGTATGCTATCAAATATCAATGATCACTGTCCTAATAAAAATAAGGCATCCAGCCGAAATGAAAGGTGGACGTGACGCACCTTTGTCAATTGACCAATCACAGATCTGCCAGGCATTGTCAAGTTTCCCGGAATCGAAAGTCCGTAACCCGTTCAACGTGATGTGCATATCATTTCTTTACTGATATTCAAATGAGTTTTCTTATTTTATACTTTTTGGGATAGTGGTAATAATAATAATTATAGTGGTAGTAGCTAGACAAGTGTTAGAGGAAGAAGAAACACAACTCAAGTGTACGGTTTGTTTTTGCTGGTAAACAAAACAAAAAACTTTAAAAAAAAAATGTAAAAAGTAATACCCGTATACTTGTGCGTGTATAAGCCGACTTCATACAGTGCAACCCCCCGATTTTTTTTCTTTTAAACTTTTAACATGAATTTTAAAACCACTCAAGAAAAAATTTAGCACAAACCGGTCAGCGAAAAATGCATGATTTTTTTATAATGTGGCCCACAATTTTTTTTTTTTTATTATTTTATTTTTTTAAACTGAAAAACTCGCACTTTGGTACTGAATGAGATTCGCTGACGATAGTGTTACTGTTCAGTTACTAGTTACTAGAGAGTAGAGACGGATTTTTTTTAAATGACATTTTAAGAGGAGTTTTGCAAAAAAATATCAACAGCACTCAAATTGTTAACTTTAAAAATTATTTTTAAAACGATGCTAAGTGGGACAGGATTGTAAGAAGATCGTGTTGCACCAACAAAGTGTGAATAATAGCTTGGCTTCCTTGAAAATCAGATTTTTTTTTTTTTAATTTTGACAATTTTGTTTTGTTTTTACTTCGTCTCGGTAATTGAGCTTACCTTTGACACCACAATATCTCAACCGCGAAGCAGTTCTTTAAAATCACAATATGTTTGTTTTTCTTAGAGATCGAAAGAAAAGAAATTTTCAATAAAATAAGATTAAGAATTAAAAAAAAAAAAGAAAAAGTTTTTTGGACAAAAAAAGACATTTATTAAAGAAAAAAACTGACTTACTGAATTTGTTTTGTGCAAAATTACGAAGTTTTATTTAAATTAAAAAAAAAAAAAAAAAAACTTTTTTTAATTTTTTAAAAAAGTTTTAAATGTCAACAAAGTCATATTCCGAAAAAATGAGTTGTTACTGTTGTTAAATGACAGTTATTTAAAAAAAAAATAAAACTCTACTTTATCGACAGCAATCCATGAACAGAAAATGACTAAGTCTGGCTTAAGGCAAACTGCTGACGGGAGCGATAGACTGTGTTGCGACGATCTTCTCAGGGAGTCCAGTATATTTTTACTTTTCAGAAATTAATTCTGTTTTCAGTTGGAAATGGAGTGGAATCTCAGTGAGGGAAGGTAGCACTTGTGCAAAAAAAAAAAAAATGTTAAAAGTTTTTCCATGCATAGAAAATTAAATTAAACTTAACTTTTTTAGCTACTGTAATTTAATTATGATTATAAATACTTCAATTTTTTTTTAATTTCCAACTTATTTTTATTATCATTGAAAGAAAAGGAGTCTAGAAAAGGCTGAAACGAGCCTGTTTTTAATTTATTTATTTTTTTTTTTTTTTACCTTGAAAACAACCAACGATGGTCAAAAATACTCTGATCATGACACAACTTTCGACAAGCTTCTTTACAAATTTCCACCTGACAGTGACATCGAACAACTTTAAGACCGGGAGCCTCGACAAACATTCCCTGTACGTTCTAATTATAATAACTTTATAAAAAGCAAAAATTATTATTAAAAAAAAAAAAATTCTTACTTGGTCCTAAATCCCGCAGTTCCATAATTAATGTACCTGTCGCTTTTACGATGATATTTAGTTTTTGCCAATTCAGTTACGTGAGCGAACGACGTGTCCATGTTCGTGCGTTGAATGAACTAAGATTTAAAATCGCCTCGTTTTCGCTAATATATCATGCACTCCTCATGCCTGATATTTGCCTTTCCTATCGTTTGGTTATGTCTGGTAGGAACTTTATTTTTCAGCACAATGAGAGAGCAAAGTGCGTGCAGCCAAGCCCATCAGGATTTTTTTTAGTTATATTGACATTGTTTGAAAGACTACAAGGTGTAGTTTGACATATTAACAAGCTAGCCTAGCAGTGTATTGAGTTCGAATCTAACTAGGTTTTAGATGTATAAAGTGATATACTAAATTTTAGTAACTAAAACTACTTGTCTTAATACTATTTTATAATTTAAATGATTAAATTATAAGATAAGTTTAATTTATTAAATTTTATTTTTAATCATAAACGTTATCACAACAAAAACATAACAGAAAAAATCTTGATGCTATTTTTCAGATCATTTAGATTGCTATTAAAAAAAAAAAAAAAAAAAAAAAAAAAAATGGGATTTTTTCAAGCTGAATTAATTTAGCATTAGCTACAATTCTGGATTGTTTTTTTAGCTGATTTCATGGTTTGAATTTTTATAACTTAATTTCCCAAACTAAAATAATAATTATTTTTTCAAATTTTAATTCTTCAAAATCAAGTTTGTTTGTTTTTTTAATTTATGCAAGCATTCTGCACCAGTATACAAGGTGTTGCTGTGTAGGAAATTCTTCCGTCCAGGTTTTTTTTATATTAAAAATCCAAGCATTCAAATTCCTAAGCAATAATAATAAAATAAAGAAAATTTGTGTATACTGTTAGTGTTAAATAAATCATTTGCATTTGTGAGTTATCCCACTCGACTTTACCAAAAAAGTGTCACTAAGACACTACTTAAGTTAAGTAGTACTGCCTTAGTGACAGTTTGACTTTAAAAAGGCATGCATTTCTCTCCCTAGCCTCTTTTACAGCTTTTTAGCTTTGGCTTTCAGATGTAGTCACACGTGAATAAAGTGTCCCTCACTGGAACATGTTAATTTTCATGGTTTTCTCTCTTGACTTTTGTACTCTCTCTCTCTCTCTTACACACACAAACACACAAACAAGCACATTCTTATTATAGTTTCATGTTTTTTCCTTTCATCACATGTAATTCCTTTGTTAATACCTGCATTGTTGTTTATTTTATATAGTTTTGTGTTACTCATTTTTTACTTGGACTCACATTGAGTCTGCCAATATTGTTTGTGTGATAACTTTTCCAGGAGCCCATAAATATTGACTCACCAAAGTGTTGATTCCCACAACGTAATGGTGACTAATATTCATCTAAACAAACAAGCATTCCGCAACATATTTACATATGTACAGGAATTCAAAAGAGTCAAAACGGAGTAAAAACAGTCAGAAATTGATTTAAAGTCTTTGGTTAACTGGTCCACAGAAAAATCTGTAGTTTAGAAAAGACTTTTAGTAGTGGATCCACAGTAAAAAGGTATGATTGAGAAAAGATTTTTGAAAATAGGGTTTTAGTTTCTCTGATTAGTCAAATATTTCACATGGTGATGTTAATTTCTAGCCAATAGAGATTTTGATTTAAATGGTGGGTATTGCATTGTGGAATCTTTTTGGCATGTTTGTAAATATTGTTTGTTATTGAGTTGAAAATAACATTTGGGTGTGTTTTAATATGGCATGTATGTGGGTATGTAATTGTGTTGGAAATAGGATTTATTTCTTATAGCAGAACTGCTCCTAGTTGGATTAAAAGATATAAATTAAAAGAAAACAGTTAAATTCAAAACTTTGTATTATTTAAAATGTATAATACATAACTTTATTTCCCAAACTAAAATAATATAACTAATAATTACATTATAAAAAAATTCATTGACAACATTGACTCACATTTGTTTATTAGACATTAAAATCACTTAACATCCACTATAATTTATGTTGATTTTTCAGTTAACCTGATGTATATTTATGAGTTTTCTTAAATTTAAAAATTCTGAAAAACCGATGACATTTTTACTTTTATTTATAAATACTTGGTTACAAAATAAAATGATTACATTTGCCTTAATAATAAAGTCCATCAGATGAAAAAACACATAAGTTTTCCTTTTGTCTTTATATATATATATATATATATATATATATATATATATACACACACATATATATATATATATACACACACACATATATATATATATATATATATATATATATACACACATATATATATATATATATATATATATATATATATATATATATATATTAATAATAAATATACATTTGGCACAACTCTGAATTTCATGCAATCTTCAGGAACAGAGTGAATAAAATACAGATATTTATAGATTAAATAAATGGTTCAGTTCAAAGTTCCAGTATTACTCAGATCAATAAACACCCGAGGAAGGCCACAGGACACAATGGCGAAAACATTGTGATAACAACAACAAAGATGAAGACAATAGTTCAAATATAAATAATGTAAATAATGATAACTCCTCATCCCATAAATTCAGAGACAGCTGCTTGCTATAATACAGATTAAACTTACTGACAAACATAAACACACCCATGTGAATTATTATACAGATAGATAAGAAAGGGTTCCTCGTAATGAAGTTTAGCAGACTGTTGCAACTTTAGGGAATGCTCCATACTTAAGGCTTTGTGCTTGACATATCTTGCATGCCTTGTTACAGTGTAATGGTAAGAAAATTTGTGTAGCCCACTATGGTTACTGTAGTGAGTTCCATTTTTGCTGAATGCCTCAACAATTGTGGCCTTATGCCATACTAAAAGGAATAGATATTTACACAAATATGAACAATCTTCCCAAAAAAGACCAGTAAATTATGGAATTAAAATTAGCTGAAAACATTTTTTGATGTATTTACTTTTTGTGAATATTAATGAATACAAATATGAAAAAAAATTTATGAACTAACTAAATACTTCTAGAAGTAGAAAAAGAAAATGACTTATTCACCAAATTTTACAATTTACAACCTGAAATTTGTTTTAGTATATAAGTTATGCTTTAAGAATCAAGAAAAAAGGGATTTTCAGTGGTCAGAAATTACTGACAAAGATAGGGCTATTATATGTATAATTATTAATTTGTAGTAGTATTTTTTATAAATGCATAGTAATTGAGAAAAAAGGGGATTGTAATAGTCAGGAATTAAGATAAATATAAGTTTGTATATTTGAGACTCAGATCTGATGTTGTAAAATGAAGTCTGGCAGTTTATGAAAAAATGTGTAAAATTTGATTTTCAAATTTGTAAAAAAGAAGCTCAAGTCTTATGTTCTCAAAACTTGTCAAAATAAAATTTGCAAAGTAGCATGGTTTAGAAATACATTTTTTAACAAATCAGGAAAGTAAATTACAAACCCAAAGTATCACATTTCTGATTTAACTGGGAGCCAATTTGTGGCTATTTAAAAAGTCTAGCTTGTCACATCAACAGATGGGACAGCTTTCACATGCAAAGAAAGTTGGCTGTCTGCTGGGAAGCAGAAAGCATAAGGGTCTAGATATTCACAGGCAAAAGTCATTGCTAGGAGTATAATTTAGATGAAGAAGAAGAAAAAATGAGTAAAATGTTGAAGGGTTTGGCATTCACAAGGATGACACTGATGATTACTCCAATGACAAAAAGGAAGAACAGAGAAAAACTAAAAGCTGACCACACCATGAAAAAGAAGAAACAGAAAGAATAGAAAAGAAGCTGAAAGAAAGCAAAAAAAAAATCACAAAGTTGTAGGTATTAACCCTGATTTGAATTTATATAAAATAAAAGAAACCTCATTTATCTCAATATTGAATTTCAAGTTTAAAAATTGAACTAGTTTAATTTACCCACCAATGCTTATAAATTTACCATCCTTCTAAAAAAATTTTGACTGTTGAATGTATGAAAGTAAGTGAAAATTTTCTTGAACATTTCTACCAGTTTTTATGAGCCTAGCAAATTATAATTTTAGAACTTGCTATCTTGCCTAATTGTAAGGTACACAAAGGAAAATTTTGTGCAAGCTTGCATTGTAAATTTGCGTTCTGTTTTATTATTATTTTTTATGTAATGTAATAAATGTTTGTTTCTTTCAAATTTCACATCAGAGTATACTTCTTGTTTGCTTTTGTTTACACTTTTCACTATAATCAGGAATAAGTGATGTGACATTCTCTTTTATCCTCCTCTCCCACCAAAATCCTTTTACAGTGCTACATTTTTTGTTGTTAATGAAAAATAAAGAGATAGTATTTTTCTATATTTTTTAGATGAGGTATTGTAATTATTTACACTATTTACATTGTTCAGATTATTGTCCGCATCTTTGTTGTCATATTCACAACATTTCATCCATGGTACGCTCCAGCCTTCTTCAGGTGAACCAAAACTTGGAGAGTTGAGTTAACGGACAATAACTGAAACAGCCAGAAGAGGTATGGCATGTGGAAATAGAAAAATCTACCCCAGTCGATGAAATAAAGGGTTCAGTTCAAAATTCCAATCACCCGGAGAAGGCCAAAGCGTACAATGGCCGATATATTGTGAATTATAGCAACAAAAATGAGGACAATAGTCTGAACAAAATCACAAAATTTTTCTCTTACAAAAATTTTTCAGGAAAATAAGTTTTTCAAGTCTGGTAACTGTTATCACTCTTTTCAGTATTGATGGAGTTTCCTTACTAACCTTTTGTCAGAAGTAGTGTAGAATGTCAACATCTTGATTATATCATTATTTTTTCCTCAAGTGATATGGTTTCTGTTATATAATACAGTTCTTTGTTTGTGATTCTGAAGCACTAGTCGACAAGGTTCAAAGAAGGATGGCCTTTTCCAAGACCTTCAGGCTTCACTCACTCAAAGCCATTTTCAATCCTTGATCTTATAATGTGAATGTATGCAGCTGACAGTTTAGATATTTCTGAACAGATTTATTGCCAGGCATGACATCTGTATAAAAGTCTTGATCTGATGATGTTATT